AATATCTGAGGGGTGGATGTCAAAAGGAAGGTGCCAGCCTCTTCACAGTGGTGCTCAGCAATAGAACATGAAATAATGGGTTTAAGTTAGAACATTGGAACTTCCACCTCAGCATGAGGAGAAACTTGTTTACTGTGAGGGTGACAGAGCACTGGCACAGGCTGCCCAGGGAGGTTGTGGAGTCTCCTTCTGTGGAGGCTTTCAAAAACCGCCTGGATGCGTTTCTGTGTGGCTGCCCTAGGTGATGCTGCTCTGGCAGAGGGGTTGGACTAGATGATCTTTTGAGGTCCCTTCCAACCGCTGACATTCTGTGATGCCTTCAGTAAGACAAAATACTAATATGGTATTTCTTTTTAAGAGCGAGAACTCATAATTTGAGACTTGGGCAAATACACATTGGAAGATACACATAGAAGAATTTCAGTTTGAAAGCAGCTACATCTGTTTTTTCTTTCTTTTCATCTTTCATGTGCAGGATTCACTAGAACGTCTGGCAAAGAGCTCCATTTCACATTTACTGAGTGGTACACCTTATGTGTGCAGCCTCCCGAGCCCTTATATTTATTTAATGACCATTTTGCAGTTTATAAGTGATATTATCTCTCAGCTTCATAGACTGATATTTGATATGACAGTATCATTCAAATGAAACCTGCAAAACTGATTGGGAGAAGTAGGGGCAGAATAGAGTTCAGGAAGGCTAAAGCAAGAAATGTAGACCTCCTTAGTTCAGAATCAAGGAATTCCTGCATGTTTCCATATCAGAAAGAAATTTCTTCAGCATTGCTAATTTCTGTTTAAATGGAGTTTTATAAATGAAGAACCCATGAAATTCCAACTGCCACGTGCTTCATGCAGTGGAATGTAATGCCTTCAGTTACTCCTCTTCTAACCTCTTTTGACGGTCTTGCCTGTGACTGCTCCTTATTGTTGTAATAGTTTTGCTTAAGGACAGCAAAAGGACCATGCTTAATAGCAGCATTACTATCACTGAGCATTTTTTTTTAGTAATGATGTTGTGGAAGTTTTAGGGGAATTAAACTACTTCTATTTTTAGTTTAGGTTGTGTAAAGAAGATAGAGGATAAATAAACCAAGCATCAATATTTAAAAAGAGGTATTATTCTAGCTTACTAGAAGCAATAAGCATATAACTCCTGTTTCTGAAATTGGCACGTATACAGAGCATGAGAGAAAAATTTGCTAATGTTTTCATTTTTGCTGTCTGAGACTTTCTTTTGGAATGAACCCTTTCTGTTCTTGGCATGTAAAGTAATTGTGAAATAATGGAGATTTCTGAAGAAAGATATAGTGCATTATAGTCTGGAAGAAATGAATATCAAATTTGTCTTGGAAAACTAATAGTTCTCATAAAAATATCAAGCTGATAGAAGCATTTGCCTTATAGGTCTCATTTTAGATAACAAATTATCTAGAGGTTGTTAAAACATGGTTATTCCAAAGTGCCAGGAACTAAGGAAACGAATCCAGGAACTCATGGGTATTCTGCATTCTTATAGATTTTGATTTCTTTCTTCTGCCAAAGCAGAGAACAGGTCATTGACAGGAGCAAGGAGCTGATGACCCCAGCCTTAGGTACTTTAAGTATTTAGGCTACAGAAGAAACAATTATTTAGAATGGGAACTATAAATAATCATTTTACTGAAGTAGTCGTTTTGTTAAATGAATGCTCTTTTGCATTTGGTCGTCCAGGTGTTCGTACCTGGAATTATAAAAGGTCACCTAAATGTTTTAGGGCAGGATAAGTATTTTGGGCTATTACCAATGCTTTGTGTCATCATGCTCCTTCTTTTATTCCTGGGTCCTTTGGATCTCATTGAAGAAGTTTTTGAAAGTAATCACTAATATTTCAGAAATTGCTTTGGCTAATTTCTGACCTGTTGAAGGTGAGAAGCTCCCAAGTGACAAGGAGGCAATGACCTCAGGTCGCACCAGGGGAGGTTTAGATTGGTTATGAGGAAGAATTTCTTTCCCAGAAAGGTTATCAAGCACTGGAATGGGCTGCCCAGGGCAGTCGTGGATTCCCCATCCCCGGAGGGGTGTAAAAGCCGCGTAGATGTGGTGCTCAGGGACATGGGTTAGTGGTGGGTCTGGCAGTGCTGCGTTGACGGTTGGACTCAGTGATCTTAAAGGTCTTTCTCAACCTAAGTGATTCTATGGTTCTCTTCTGTGATTCTGATTTCATTAGACACCGTTGTCCTGGATAATTACAACTCTTCAGAGTTATCTATAACCCGTTCTAACGTCTGTTTCTGCCTTTTCTACCATCTTTAAGTGAAATCACAAAATATACTATGTATCACTCATTGCTTTCTCTCACCTTGTGGCTGTATCTCTTGTCTCCTGCTTACCCCTGATACACATGTAACATGTTTGATACCTGTAGCTGGAATCTGTTTTGTACCTTAGACTTTTTAATTTATTACTTCATATTTATATTAATCTGTCATCCTAATATTATGCTACTTTTTTTTCTGCATCTGCTGTTGTGCTTTTAATTGTGTCATTCCTTGATCTCTTTGCTTTTCTGTTTCATGTGTTCATGGAAACCTTCTAGCCCTGCTCTGATTTCCTTGGGGGAAACACTCTTCATTTCCGTTCACATCGCCTCTGTAATTAAAGACTCAGTCCTCTGGGCTGATCAGAAACAAAATGATATCTTTTTTCCACTTCCTGGAACAAAATACAACTGACTACCTCTGTGTATTTTTTAACTAACCACCTGGCTGTCTGTTGGAAGGTTACTGTATTGGGATACAGTCATCTCTTTTTAGTCCTGTCATTTGCCTTTGCCAGCCAGCCCTGTACTTGTACAGTCTCTTACCTTTTTTTTTTTCCTCCTTTATTTGAATGTCTTGACACAGCTTCCGTTTTTCTTCTCTTTGATTTCCACACTTCATGTTCAACAAGTCTGAACTTTGGAATGAGGTGGAGTGCGTCACATGTATCACACTTTTGGAACAGGTTTCCCCTTTTAAAGGAGCATTCCTGTCTCTTCTGTGTCACTGCATGTCTGCAGTGCCACGTATGATGTGAAATCGAATACAGTGCATGTACAAAGGCTTGTATTGTTCCTGTTTTAAAAACACAGCAGGTGCAATGTGATCAAAGAGCCATACAGTCCATACGGTAGCTTGTCTAAGGGAAAAATAACAGATGCCTAAAGGAAGAATAGATCAAGTCCATGGTAATCCTTGCCTAACAGACTTTTCCAGCTTTTCATAAAGTCCATGACTTATTTATTATGTATGACTGTAGCTTGTATTCATGTCTGTTCTTTATCTGTTCTTCCCTATTGTTTTCCTTCTAACAACTGCAGTTTCCGTTCTAATCTCGTGGTAGTTGGTTAATTTTTATTTTTTTCTATCTTTTTCATTAGTCCTCCTATAGCTAATAGATAGTAGTCTCTTCCTAGTTTATTCAGAAACAAAAGAAAAACCTGTTAGGAAATGCCTTTTACTTTCTGTGGCAATGAAAAACTAATATCAACTTTTTTTTTTTTTTTTTACTTTTTTTAAAGCCTGTCTAAAAAAAGATAACTGCAGAGTTGTACTGTTCCTGCCAAGTTTCCACAAGAGGTTATTAGTAACTGTTGAAAAAATATTTGTAATGGAAACAGGGACGTTTTAACTGTAATGTTTGTGAGGACTTTCGAACAGCATGGCTTTTCCATCTCCTGACTTTCAAACTTCCCGACTACCAGTTCCTTGCTTCTGGGTTGCTTTAGTCATCGCTCTGTGTATATATATAGTGGCTTCAGCAACACTGTTGTTCATACTACAAATACGTTGCTCAGGGTGGTTCATGTTGTTTCTAGCCTGATACTCAAAACAAATGTAAACGTAAATCTCTTTGGTTTTGGTGGCATACACTTCTCAGTGGCATCCAAGTTATGAGTGGTTTAGAACATAATTAAAGAAAAACTATGCTGTTTCCACTAGAATAAAACCATCTTGATTTAAATGATTTAAATGAATAGTAGTATATATAAATAGATAGAATTTGAAATCTTTCCAACTTTATAAATCCCTTGAATATTTTCAGGTCTCACATCTACACTATTTCCTGTTGTTTTCCTCCATTAATCATTTTTCCATGTTTCCTTTCTCTTCTCAGTTGTGGGAAAAACAAGGGAACAACAAAGTCTTCAGAGAATGTGAATGAAGGGAGATGATGAGTTTCTGCAGTCTGTTCCTGCATAAAAATGAATTTTAGATAGGTATGTGGCCCTTTGCTGTTATTGTTAGGCTCTAGTTGCTGGCATTCCATAGTGTTCAGTGCTCCTTTAGTTGTTGAACACCATCATCTGCCCAAGGGCAAGTAATTGATCGTTTCTCCATCTTTTTAATCATTAACTTTGCAACAGCTTTGATTTCTTAAAAATGACACTACTAAAAAAATCTTTGTAACCTGTGTAAAGTAAATGCCTTCTCAATAGCTGTGCTTTGCAATGGTAGGAATTGTTGCAGCCTGACATGTCTTGTTTTCAGTAACTGTTTCTAAAGCTTGTTTCTTTAGGAATGCATGTAGTAGCTTACTTCTGTATATATTCCACAACATGAATCTGAAATTCTTACATTTCTTGTTTCAGAAGTACTATGGAACCTCTGCAGCTCCGTAGGTTTGGAAGGCTTAAATCCAAGGTTGGAAAGGCTTCTTCCATTCCAGATGATTTGCTGGCTTAAGCGCTTAATTAGGATGGCTTTTGAACAAGTTGGATTAAACATGGAATCAGTAAGTGTTTCAAATGTGCTTTATGTTTTTAGAAAATCAGGTGTAGAAAGCGCTTCATGTGTTTCAGTTTGTGCTTGTTTATTTCCAGCGGAACACCTTAAGTATGCTCAATACTTGTTTGATTCTGCGTTGCTGAAAAAGTGTGAAGTTTACTAGTTGAACAGTGAAGTACTGAGTAATACATGTGTTAAAATTACCATACAGTTCCTTCTGGCTCTAATAACAAACTGTTTTCTTTGTAAGTGCTGCTTTTCATGCTGGACTTATATGTGTGTTTTGACGATGAAGGAAAATTTTCAGCTGATTTCTAACAGTGATGTTAATTCTTAAATAATCTTATTTCTTTGCTCTGATCATGGAGATATGAAAAGCCTTGTGAAACTAAGATGATAATTGTGCTATATTTACTTCTTCTGAAAGTGTTAATAGTACCTGAGAGCAGCACAGCTGTGTTCTACACTGAGGAAAAAGAGTAATGTGTATGCACAGCACTCTTCTTGGAGGAAATTTTATATAGAGTTTTCTTTGAATGCTTAGCAGAGAGATCTGTTACATGTCAGCTGCTTTGTCACTGGGACCTTTAGGAAGCTATTTTGAGTACAAGTATTGACTGCAATGCAGTGATTCCTTTAAGTTGTTGAAATACTTCAGTGTTTTAACAATGGGGAAATCCTGAACAGCTACGTGCAGTACTTAGAAAAGTAATTCTTACTCTGGGTTATTGTGGTAAAGCCGTTTGTCAACCTTGAGAGTCTATGGAGAGCAAAATGTTAATACGTTGGAGATTAAAATTACCAAGAAGAATCTGTGTTTTAAGATTTTATTCAAACTTTGGTTTGAGATTTCATGCAGTGCGACTTTGAAAAAAATCAAAGTATGAGAATATGCTGGGCTACCATGGGTGTTGCTGTGATTGCAGCAACATCTTTCAGCCTAAATAGGGGAGAGGGGTACAAGTTTTTAATCTTTTTCACCCCTGTGTCAAGCTTGTGGTACTGCAGTTCCATTTCCAAATGTCAGCTGTTCTGGACAACAGTAAAACACTGATGCAATAGGAGGGTATGACTAATATTTTGAAGACTTGCTCTGCCAGTGCCTCGAGTCAACAAGAAGCTGTGTGAGTTTGGGTTTGGGAGCAGTGCAGAGACTTACCAGCTCAGCTGAGCAGTGTGCTGACTTTATTTGCGTACCTTGTTTGCGCGCAATTTTCAGAAAATATTGTCCTGGCGTATCTTGAATAACCAAAGCTCAGTCATTAAAAATTTCGGTGCATCATACCACTGCTGCTGAACAACCCTAAGAGCATTTGAGCACTAGATATTTTTGAGGATCTGGGTGCTAGTCAACATCTTGTCTGCGGTCTGAGCAATCTCTAAACAAGTTTTGCCACTTGTTTAATATGCACCATGCTTAGGTTGTTAATACAGCATGTAAGCTAGGCCCTTTGGCTGTTGTGGAGGTACTTCTGTAAGGAATAAATCCTTCCTTTGACTAATAGCATTTTTTCCAGTACAACATCGCTCTGAGGTAACAGGATCTGTTGTGGACAGTGAGGCTGTATCGCTGTGATACTGTTTGTCCGTGACTTCTTCTTGAAGGCCACTGATCCACCTGCTGTTTGCTCAGACATGTAGACAGACAGTAATGTGCTAGTCACAAATGTGAGGTCCTTGAGGCATCCAAAAGGCAGAAGCAGTGGAGTACTTCACATTAAAAAAAAAATTTGCATTGAAACTTGGCAGCGTATTAAGCAAGAGAATATGTGTTTCATAGAATGGGAGCAATGGGTCTAGGTGAATTAATGGCAATGTTGAAGCTCTGATGTGAGAATCTATCATAGCATGTGTGTAGTGCACATTTATTTTGTCAAAGTTTATACATTCCAATAAAAACAGAGGAAGGAAAGGTACCTGTTTAGAAATAGGCAAAATGTTTGTGTGAAATTTCTGAGATGACATAACCTGGGGGTAAATACCGTGGAGCAGAAATCTTTCCTTCAGATAGAACCTTTGATATGTGAAAGTAGTTACCTTTGCTTAGGATATCAAAATGTTTTTCAGCTGTGTGTTGAGAAACTCCCACAGGTGCAGTACACTAATCACCCAGGCAATACTGCCGTGCTGTGGGAGGGTTATTTCAATATTAATTGCCTGGGTTGTATCTCAGTTTTCTTTGCTGAGCAACCTTATAACATGAGGTTGAGTTTGCTCGAAGCTGTGAACCTTTAAAAACTGAGGTCTGAGTAGTAAATTTGTATCTACAGCCATAAGTAAACGCTGGCCAAGTTTTTTAAATTGCCATACAGTGTTCCATTTTTTTACTAACAGTGTACTCTGTGCATTGTTTTTGTTGCCTTTCTGTGTGCGGAAATCTTTCCTACTTCTCTTTAGATTGTGTGTTCTTTTGCTTCTGTTCTGGTTTGTTTTATCACATTCTCCTAGGCCTAAAGTCTCATTTTATCTCACACAGCTGTGGTAAATAGTAGAGCAATCATTCACATAATTAAGTACAACAAAGGAAAGTTCTAACGAAGCAAGTTGTGTTGAGGTGCTATGGGCAATTTTCTCTAGGTGAATGTGTATATTTTTTTTTTTTTAGGATAAAGTTTCATTATTAGGTATATTTATTTTCCCCATTATACTTTTCTTTGCTCTTTAATTTCACAGTTACATTCTAATGTTTTTTCTAGCTGATAGTTACTCAGACTGGTAGACACTACTCCTGTGTTAGAAGAGCTCTTAATTTAAAAAGAAAAAATAAATTTTGGGAAATGTAGGATTACATAACTTTATGGATTTTCCACAGTGGAGTAGCTTTTCTTGAAACTCCTTAAAAAGAGGTGTCTGGTCCAATGCAGGTGTTTTATTGTCTTGAAAATGAACAAATTATGTGTTTGAAGGTGCTTATACAACTCTTGAATCCTTCTGTTTTACCCAGTCTGTTGCTTTGAATTTAAACTTAATGCAAAAGCTTAAACAACTGTAGCTGTGTTGTAATGATTAAAAAAAAAATTATACCAGTTTGATTATAGAATGTAAGGAGTTTACTGATGCAAATTTCAGTCTATGTATATTATAGTCTATTCTAACATGAAAGGAATAACTTTAAGTACACTTAACACAAGGATAGTGTCAAAGAATAAGGGAAAACTATTCCAATTTGCTGTAAAAATCAGTTACTTAACAGCTGGCTTCTTTTTCTTTCCCATCCAGGTGCTTTGGTCAAGCAAGCCTTACGGTTCATCTCGAAGTATTGTAAGAAAAATTGGTACCAACCTCTCTCTTATACAGTGTCCAAGAGTTCAGTTTCAGGTAGGTGTCCTCAGCAGTTTAGAATTCATGTTTCATTATACTGATAAAGATTTGCTCTTCAATCAAGAGATTTCGAGCGAATATGCAGTTAATTTAAATAAATGACCAGAGGGTTTGCAAAAGCAGAATATGATAAGCTGGGCACATAGTCTCCTCGTTAGCTTACCGCAGTTCTTCCTGCTTCTAGTTCAGATTTTTTCAAAATGTGTGTTCTACAGCTTCTGTGCTGCCTAAAACCTGTATCCACGTTGCTGTAATGCACACAGTGAAACTTGAAACATTTTTTTTTTTCCTAAGGAAATTGGAACCTCTAAAATGAAGCGTTAAAAAGTTATTCTTGGAAAAAAAATACATTCAGAGAAAATAAAAATGTGTGCAACTTTTGTGTAAGCAGTTCTTATAAGCTAGGCTTAAGAGGCATGTAAATATTAAAAATATTTGGGAAAATGAAGAACATCAGAAGGTAAAAAAAGTAGCAAGATAACATGGGTACTCTGCTTTTGTATTAAGTACAGAACTAGCACTGTATAGGTGAAATGGGAAGTTCTGTGCAGCTTTCTGATGTGGTTGCTTTTAACTTCAACTGCATATAGTGGGAAGATAAGGAGTGAGGGTAAAAGCTTCGGGAGGAGAAAAACCTTGCTTTTTAAAACAAGTGTTTTAAGAACAGATGGGGAAATGGAAGCTGTTACACATAATCTCTTCAATGCTGTGTGTGTTAGGGATAGCAGGTGGGTATAGAATTGGAGGAACTTAGTGTTTGAAACTCAAGCTGAGAGAGGAATGTTTTTTGCTGAGCAAGTGTAGGGCACTTAAAGGTGAATGGTGAGAATCGTCACCCACACTAAGACAAGTTAGTTTTCACACAGCTAAATTTTACACTGTTTAAATTAATTTCTTTATCCTATATGAAATGTATAAACAGTATTTAGACTTGAAATTGTAGTAGCAAAATCAGATAGTTCAGATTACCGTAGAAGCCTTTCTGATGTGACAGTAAAAGCCATGATAACATTTTGCCTCTTAAATAATTACACTGAGAAACTAGAATGGTCACCGTCTCCCACTATTAGTGGCTTGGTGAAACTTAAACAATAAATATATGCATTCTGGGCAGGGGGGATTTGTGCAGGTGAGAAGGACAACAAAATGACATGCTAGATTTAAACTTTTTTGATACATAAATAGTAGCAGCTGTGCCAGCTATAAGGCTCCACGTGCTGCAGATTTGAAAGGAACCGAAATCATCCTATAGTGTGTCTGATTTTCTGTACTGTAAAGGCCATACAAGGGAAGATGTTGCTCTTTTGCAGACAGTTAGCTGAATACTGCCTTCTTTTAATATGGTACATAAAAGACGACATTTCTGTATTATGTTCTTGCAAAGAGTTGTAAGATACATCTGGGGCATCTTCCTGAATATTTTTAGTGTTGAAATGAAAACATGTATATGTCTTTGTCTGAATTCTGTATTAAAATAAATAAAATACTTTTGTTTTTTCCCTCGCAGATACATTCAGTCAGCTTTGCGCAGGTTATTACATACACTAAGTATGAACATTGTCTTTTATTAGATGAAAGGAAAGGTGCCTTGAAATACAAGTACCTTTGTCAGAGTTGATAGAAATACTAGTTTCAGAATTTGAGCTTTGAAACACATTAAAATTTTATATGGTTTATCCAGGCTTTAAACTATTTTAATATGTAAAGCTGTTGAACATGTAAAAGTGTGATGCTAACATCTGTTTTTTATGTCTTTATCTGAGCATTAAGATTCTGTAGTGAAGTTCAATATTGGTCTCAGTCATTTTTATGCTGTTGCAACTGACGCTTTCCTATAGCTATCTCTTCCTCTTTCTTTCTTTCTTGCCAGCTTTAGCTATCTTATGAAAGGACCATGCACTGAACCTTGCTGTAAGTCACTTTATTAAAAAACCAAAGCAAACCGTACTTGCCTCATCTGAGGGTGCATGTATATCATGAGTGTTTCTAACTTCTATCTATGAACAACAAATTTTCCACAGATGTTAATTCCCCTTATGATAAGATGATAAGAGATATGGAAAGAATATCTCTGTTATGTTAATTCTTTCTTCTCTTCTACAATGCTTTTGTTCAGGTAGTCTGAAAAAAGAGTAGCCTAACATTTTGATTTTTGAGGTCTACTGACCTGTAGTATCTGTTTCTAAGTGTCTTGCCAGGGTTAACATTTAAATTAATTACTAAATGCTGATGATGTATTCAGTAAGTGGTGGCAGAGCTTACCCTATATATGGCACAAACAAATGCAAATGGTTCATATAGTTCTTTTGTATGTCATCTTCAGGTTTATCTGTAGTCTTTAAGAGAAAAATAAAGTTAAGCTTACCAGTATAACCTAGGTAGATTCAACCAAACCTACAATACTGTCTCTCAGGATAGTATCTTTCAGCTACAGAATCTCTCTTTGAGTCCCATGCTTCTGTTTGTCTGATGGAAACTTGGTAACTCGGTAGAAATCTGCTGCAGAATTGGTGTGTGTGTGTAACAAACATCAGAAATTGCTGGGCTAGTTTGAAAAGTCCTAGCAAGTTTGTCTCACTTGAAGAAGTATTTCCAGATGTTTAGCATCTAACTGTATTAGTAATTTGAAATTAAAGTTTTTATTCTATCCTTAACTGTGCAGAAATAGCTGTTCTGCTTTCCACTTCATGGAGCAAACAAAAAGTAGGGATCCTGCCCTGATGGCTGGATCAGCCCTGCTGAAAAAATTCCATGGTGTGGTGGTTATCACGTTCGTCTAACACGCGAAAGGTTGCTGGTTCGAAACCGTGTGGAAACACTAGAGAGGCTGGCTCTTTCTTTGCGAGCTGGGCTTGGTGATTCTTTATGGGTCATTTCCAGCTCAAAATATTCTATGACATCAGCTAAAACAGTGCAATGTGTGTAGCCCTTTCTTCAGAAATTCCTTGAGTACTGGGTCTGACACGCAGAGCATGCACACGTGTTTGTGCAGCATGCGTGCACTCTGTGAAGGAAGAAGTGAGGGAAGAAACTATGTAGTTTCCAGAGAAAGAACAGCAGGTAACTTTAACTGTTTCGTTCAGCTCCCACCACCTGGTAGAACTGGGCCTCTGTTTTCAGCTCTTTGTTTCAGGTGCTGACAGAACAGTTGTCTAGGTTTTCTTCAGCTGAGATTTGCTGGAGTCATAGGGTAGTCACAGAGTTGTTTAAGCATCATTCTACAGACAGGTGAAGCTTTTAAGAGCTGGATATTGGCTTTTAACCTTTAATTTAAAGTAAAAATCTTCCATTAACCTGAAATTTGAAATCCACTGCTGTGGAAAGACTTGGTTGTTTTAGGGATAGAAAAGAAACATCTGTATATGGGGTAACAAGCAGATTCTGTTTACATGTAAATATGAATAAAAAAGTAAGAAGAAACTTACCTCACAATGTAACAGAAGGCTTGCTACTAAATGTTGGATTAGGACTTATTTATCTCATGATGCAGGAAACCTGGCAGTGGTAAATGCATTCCTTACTGTTGATTTATAAAATTTTTTATGCAAGTACATGTACTGCCTTTATTTAAATGTGGCTTCAGTTTTGTCCTGATACTAGTTCTTCATGGGGCTATTACCATCAGGAAAATCTGTATGACCTGCAAGGAGTGGCTAATGTATTATGGATTATTATTTTTTTTAAATTGCCGTTAATATTAATACACATACTGTGGTCGTGAAGATTTCTCCATATTGTAAAAAAGAAAAAAGCCAAGAAAACTTCAAACAATGAAAATCCTAACGTGCAGTATAGTATTCTCTAGACTATTTACAGAGAGGCAGACTGGGATGGTATTAGGCACAACTGTTAATGTGATAAACACATTACCATCTGTGCTGATGCTACCTGGAAAAAACCCTGTTGTTTCCAAATGATCTGATGGTGCCAATACACACTCCTGGGAGCTGTGATCAAGGCTCATATACAAGTTGCGAGAGTATGAGGTGAAGATGACTAATCTCAATTTCCAAAGCTGTTTGTAATGACTCCTGGGGAAAAAAACAACCCCAAACCCACAGCTTCTCTCTTCCCGGGACTTGTGTATCAAAGGCTACGACTAAAATATCTGCAGATGTTCTTTAGAAATGGTTTCACCATGTCCAGACTACAGCCCTACTGTGATAGGTCTGCTACAAATCCAGGTTAATGCTGACATTTCACAGTTGCTTCTATATAACAGTTTCCTCTTACAGAGGTGAGTTGCCTTGAAAATTGACCCGAGTGCTAACAGGCTGGAGCCAAGCTGCCTTCACAGGCTGTTCAGGGCTGCCACCGGCTCTGCCCCTATCACTGACTTCTCGGCCACCCCCAGCAGCAGGCAGCACCTACACAGCTGCCACAACTCATGGGCAAATTTGGCCTGGGGACTGTATGTGATACAAGCAAAAGAGGTGGCACAGTTGCACTGGAGATTAAGTAACTCAAGGTGACAGACTGAGCAGAAGAAATTACCGAAAGATGTTTCAGGAGCTTTTATCCACTGAGATTCTGAGCCCAGGCTGCTCAGTAGTCCAGTGACTGAGTACACGTGCCTTTTTCTAACCCAGGGAAGCAGCCAGTATTGCAAGGTGGATTTGAAACCGTTTGGTCCGAACAATTTTTCTGATCTCCATTCAGGTGACATAACTCTAAATCTCAGAAAGGTTCCAGTCTCTGGAGCCTTACTCACCTTTGGCTTCAAAGAGCTGTAAAGCTAATGGTAGAACCATGATGGAAAACGCTCCATTTGTTTGGTGTGCTGGAAATAAGATTGTTAGTAAATGGTGTATTCTGTTATGATTGTATCCTACCTCTTACTCAAAGTCCTTATGATTACTGAGCTAGTAGAAATGGCTTTTTTCTTTTTCTTCTTTTTTCCTCTCCCCCCCCACCTCTGTGTAGTGTACATGCTTTTATTCTTGTGCAGAAATTCTAGAAGTTGCAGGGGAAGAGAAACACTCTTCAACAAATTTTCACTTTCAAAATCATACTAAATCAGAGCAAAAGACTTTAAGAAGTCCTAATAGCCTTAATATTTTGGGGTTTTTTACTGGTCATAAGTATAATTAAAAATCATATTATTTAAGGTAATAGAGCCAACTACTTGAGAATGCTGATGTTTGGCTTTAGGGTAACAATTTGCATTGGATTTTTAGTAATCAGTAGTGTCATGTGATTAGTATGTGTGGTTACCTGTGAACCTCTGTAAAGTGTTCAGCAGATTAGATTGAGTAGTTTGAAGTTAATGGTTCTGGGCAAACACAGGACAGAAATAGGTGTGCTAAGTTTAGAGACGTTTTGTGCATGTGTGTGTTAAGCTACGTGTAGCCCTGCTAAAAACATTGACTTAGGCTGAGAATAGTGACTGAAACCTTCAATCTTGTCTTTAAAATTTAGCTTACTTCTTATGGCACAGAAGGAAATCATCTTAATCAGCTTCGAGAAGATGCAGTGGCTTCCTTTGCAGATGTGGGATGGGTTGCTCAAGAAGAAGGTGAAGTCTCTACAAGGCTCAGGTATGGTCTTCAAGTCTTCTCTTTGAACCGCTGTAGTGGGAGGAAGAAACTTAGCTTGTGGTTCTGGTTTGAGCTAAAATAAAGCCAATTGTGTTCAGTGGTTTTACTTTTTAGCTCAGTCTTTTCTAAGATTAGACTGCGCTTTCTAAAGGTAATAGCATGTTTTTGCAGTGTCTGCTTCTAGAAGTGATAATGCCCGATTTTTATAGGTATTATCAAAGATAGGTGTGCGGAAAGGCTCTTGGTCCTGTAGTGACCAAAGTCACTGCTGGATCTTGTGTAATAAGCTGGGAGTGCTGGTAAGTAAAAGGTTGTACCTCTAGGGAGGAGCAGAGACGACAGGTTACCTGAAACAGACCAACCAAATATTCCATTCCATATATGTCATATTCAGTGTAAAACTGAGGGATTGCAGAGGTTAAGAACTCTTTTTTGGTGGCTGACATTCTGCCCTCGATCCTGATGCACGAGTTCTGTATTTCATGTCCAGCTCCCTTCTGCCGCTGAGCCTGGGGCTTCCCTGGTGTGGGGATTGCTCTCGGGGGTGGCAGGAGTTGGGTTTGGTATTGGTTTTGTATATATTTTTATGTATTTTGTTATTTTTTTTTATTATTGTTTCTTTAAGACTGTTTTAGTTTTCCACGCCGTAAGCCTCTCCGCCTTATTCCCTATTCCCTTCCCCTTTAGGGGGAGGGAAAGGCCTTAATGGAGAACAACCTGTCATTCATTTAGTGGCCGGCCCAGCCCTAACCCTTGAGACTTCCCTCCAGTGAGAACCTGCTGTGCATTGCTGTTAGTGAAGAGCACTTGAGTGCTGGGAGAAGGGAGAGGGAAGAGCAGAAGAAAAAGGTAGCGTCTGGAAAAGAAGTAGTAGAGGCTAGACTTAACAGGATTATGAATGAAAGACTGATTTGAGAACATACAGGAGATTGGCTTTATACAAGGAAGACTGTGGGATTTATTTACTTATTTATTTGCAAATAAAAGAATTAATATGGGGCAACGTACCGTACAGGTTCCTAATTAGCAACAGTGGTCATTCTGACCGAACCAATAATTGGCACATTGTTTTTCACCTCTGTGGTTAAGGCTGTGCAGTCTGCTAAAGACAATTAGAAAAAATGGGGTTTATGTTTTGTCTTTAATTTTTTTAACAAGAACTGGAAGGGAAGCACATGAGCACCTGTGTCTGGAAGGACTGGGATAGGTCCAACCAGGTACGTTGGACCAAGAGCATTACAGACCACGGTAGCTGCACGAAACAGGTTGGCTGAAGTGATGAAGTTCTCTGCTCCAGCCTACCCAAACTGCTGCTCAGCACTAGCCGAAAGCAAAGGTGCACTTCGGTAGCGTGGAGGAAGCTTTTCTTCTAAACAAACCTTCCAGAGAAGGGCACAGATTGTTGGCTTTGGAGATGACTGGAGGACACTGTGTTTAATCTGAAAGCACAAAGTAGATTGGCAATGACCTAGGTGCCCTCCAACAGGACTTGCCATGGCGAAGCCTTGCATAGCAAACGTGCTGGCACTGCCGCACTAATTTCACAAACTCGGAGGGGAGTCGCAGAAATCAAGGCTTGTTTGGGAAACGCTCTTTGTGAAGTCTGTTTGATGTGAAGGCAATTAACTGGCCAATACTGCTTTTGTTTGCACAGAAACATTTTGTTTAAGGATTGAACTGTAAAGCCATTATGTTTAATGGAGACAACAGGGAGAATAGCTCCTTGGTGCTTCAAAGAACCTATTAGGAAAGATGTAGGACTTGTGTAGCTGCTGCGATGTCTGCATAGGAAGGAGGACAGATGGATGTGGGATGGGAATAAAATAATCCTGCAGATATATAGTGACCCTTAAGGCAAACGGCTTATAATGGAGCATGGTAAGTGAATTACTTTGCAAATATGAGTATTTCACTGTTTATTACGTCTGTGCATAGTATTATGTAGTGGAGCTAAGTATGCATTAGGTGTTTTCCAGGCATTTGAAATTCTCCGTTTCAACAAGATCGCATAGGTGTTACTGTTAAATATATGTTCACTGTGTAATTCAATAAACAGTCTTGCAGACATGTTTTTTTTCTGCGAATCCTGTTTCACAGAAGAAGCAACTAAATGACAAATCATTTTCCCCCTACCTCTAGTCAGAGCAATAGTGACAACTGTGACAATAGGGACAATATTTTTCCACAGTGATAGATTCCAATCAAGACATCTCCTTAAAACTATTACTGCTCTGACTGGAAAATATCCTTTGTTATTTAGCTATTCTGCTCCTTAAAGAGTGAAGTGAGGGTGAGGGTTGCTGTAGAAAGCATCCTGTTCTCTCCCTGGCTTCAGTTGCTCTTTATTCGTTTCTAGATAACACCACCTAAATTTTAACATCCTTGATAATGATCGATTCTGCTCAGTCAAATTTCTGCAAGTTGTGCTGATGTTTTTCTGTCAGCGTCATGGAAGACTCAAATGTGTACTGAATCCCAGATTGAGGCAATCAGAGCACAGGGCTTGTTCTAGCCTTAAAGCTTGTTTTTTAACAAGTGACAGTTGGCACAACTGCAGATCTAACACAACACGCATCCAGAGTATCTTAACCCATGCATCCTGAGCGATGGGGCTCTTAAACTGTTACAGCTATTCTGCACCTTTTGAAAAAAGTCTTATCACCAGCCACTGTTCTTACTCTGACTTTTGCATAAATAATGGAATCGTGACCTGCCTGAGAAGTTATTGAACTGAAATGAAGGAGCATTGAGAAGTTAAGTATGTGGTCATGTTTTGCAGTTAAAATGTTTTGGATAACCTGTTGTCATAAATCCTTATCAGTTCTACTTATAGAATAGTTTGGGCTGGAAGAGACCTTTAAAGGTCATCTAGTCCAAACCCCCTGCAGTAAGCAGGAACATCTTCAGCTAGATCAGGTTGCTCAGATGCTTCAGATGCACTGTTTAAAAATGTTGATGTCTTCAGTGAATAGAACTTTTTGTGAGTGCTTATTTGATTGCAAATGCTCTATAATGCCTCAGTATTTAACGTAGTTTGAGCTTTGACGGGTGATAAAGGAAGGCAACAGAGTTGCATTTTCTTCATCTTTTTGAAGAAAGATGAGGACTCTTCAAATAAAACCGTTTGAAGTAGTTTTCTCTATAGGTTTTATTTATTATGTTAGAAAACTAGATGTAAGACCCTTTCCTATTTACTGATAAGCAGCCTCTGCATCTCTCAGCTGTTTCATGTACTCTGTAATCCCGACACTGCAAAGTATTCCTAACACTGGAGGAAAACGTACATAAATCGGAAAAAGTACATAAATATGCTGTGGAACTAAGAAACTCTTCCCTCTTCAGAGGAATCAACTACAAGTAACTATTTGCAGCCCTTGGGGAGGAAAAAAGGTAGCATTTTGGGGAAAAAAAATAATTAAATCTTAATTCCAACAAAAGATAGGATAGGTGTGAGGTAGAGAAAGGGAGTGTATCTCTTTTTAGTCCTGAAGTCAAGAATTCCACAAAAAGCTGGCTAAGGGAAGAGCTACTGATCCAACCAGAAAGAGGGTGAAGCTCTTACTTACTTAAAGCTATATAAGGTCTTTGTGGAAGTGATTTGAGTGAAGACAATGTTGAAGGTAGGCCTTCAGCTTGTGTTCCTGGTTTGTATGCAACATCACTTTAGTTTTCATCTATTACAAAGCCTTTAAAAGAGGAATCTCGTGGTATTTTTGTTGCAGGTCAGAAGTTTGGTCAAAACCAGCCCAGCCTCTTTCAGGTGAACTACATCAGTCTGGAAAGCCCCCACGCAGGCAGCTGTCCTTACAAAACCCAGTGGAAGAAGAACCAGTGTCCAGGAGCGCAGTGATTGCGAATGAAGAAGCTCTGCAGAAGATCAGTGCTCTAGAAAATGAACTCGCCACTTTAAGAGCACAAATAGCCAAAATCGTAATCTTGCAAGAACAACAGAACCTGACAGCAGGTATTAAATTTTCTGTGCTCGTAGCAAAATTTGTCCCTTTTATAATTAATATTTATATATT